GAAAGAGTAATGGGACTGTGTTTGATGTTGATGTAGCAAATATTTCAGTTTCAGCTGCATGGAGTGTATAGCAATACATTAAGTAGAATTCCAGGTCTCTAAAAATAGGTAGCCTTTTCCTCTAATATTTGTCATAAGAATGAAACTTTCTCAATATATATTCCTAAACTGTTGGAAAAACTAATCACCTGTTTTTATTCTGCATTATTTTTTTATTGAGATAATAATCCTATTAAATAACTATTATTTTTTTCCACTTTTTTAGGCTTTATGCAGAATTACTCGTTGCTCACCTAATGCTTTCCAGGGTGTCATTGAAAAAGTGGGATTAACAGCTGTACTGAATTCCTTAGCAAATGGAATATGCAAAATTCAGCAGTACATGCTCACCATGTTTTTGGCAATGTTGTCATCTGGGATTCATCTACAGAGGCTGATTCAAGAAAAGGTTTGATTTCAGATTAATATTATTCACTGGCATGGAATTTCACTAATGGAAAGTCAAAGTTAGGTCTGGTAGTGTTTTTGTGTTTTCAAAATGCTTAACTCAGTGACAGATACATAGCTGAATAGATGAGATGAGGAATGGAATTATTTTATATTTTTATTTGCTTAAAATCTAATTTGTGAGGCATATAGTTTCTAGGCAGCTAGAATTCAGTCGATTCTGAAAACTCTAACCTGACCATAACTGATAATGGCCCTAAGGAAAAACAATAAGGAATGCACAAGGAACACTATTTGACATAGCTCTCTTAGACATTTAAAAGAGAAAATAATGAGTGTACTGATTGAATCTAAAGCCATACTTCATGTTCTCCTTAAAGGACCTTAGGCCAATTTGTAAGTGAAATGTCTTGCAGAAATTAGCATTTTAATAACTTTGGGTTTTCTTTTTAGAGTAACTGAATAAAACTGCTGTTTCTGATTTATGTCTAATATAATTTTTGGAACAGATGATTAAAAGCTTTCTAGTTTGATCATCAAATTATTCCATGTTTAGAGGAACAGTGTTAATTTTTTTGGCAGTAAGTCTGCACAATTCATAAACAACAGTAATCCCTCTCTGCTTGGAAAGCATAAAAGCCACAAAGAAAACAGGAACTCTAGCTTATGTTTTAATCAGATACTTTGTTCTAATGTATGGTCTACCCTGATAGTCATCTTGACTATAACAGTCTATTAGGCTTTAGTTGAGAGAGATTAATTTTGTTGCTATACACATTGTTTTAACAACAATGTTTAAATTAAATAATACTATACTGTTTTCCACCTGCCTCTTCTTGCAGCCTGCAATCACTCATTCTCTTTCAAAAGTCGTATTTGTGCCTTGGCAGAACTGTCAATATGTTCTTCTAAATGTGTTTTAACTGGCCTTAAGCTTTCCACTGTAACAATGCTAACAGCTGGCAAGTTGTCCAGTAACATCAGTTTTTAATAGTGCATGTTACTGTGACTTGGTGGTATGCTCAGAGAATTATGTTTAAAAAATATTCACTTGAATGTTCAGCAAAAGAATGGAATGTGTAGCAATGATGTGGCTGCAGCATGATGTATGCTGTGAAGAATTTCTTGTTTATACAGGAGTTAGATGGCTAAAAAGGACTCCCTTTCTGATGGTCAAATTTTGACATTATAAAAATAATGAACTCTTGAACACCCCGATTAGTTATAGAAAAATAGAAAGTTCTTTTTTGGTATGTAGTACAGTAATGACCAAAATTTTATGGGTTTGAAATTGCTGCTTAATCATTAATGAATTGTCATAGGTGTTTTGTGAGCAGGTATTGCAATTTGGCAAATGAGAAAAGTGAAACATAGACAAATACAGACCATCTTTTAACAGTATGTATCAAACTAATGATAGAAGTAAGAATAGTACCCGAAGTTGTAACTGAAAAAACATTGTGCTTTAAAACTGGGCAAGCTTTGTGACTGTATTTTTAATATAACTCTAAACAAATATATTAAAAGATGCTTAAATATATAAATTCAGGATGAAGATAATTTAGCTTTGTATATATTATCTGGAAACTCCCTCAGCTTATAAGAGTTAAGGCTGCTCTTGTTTTCTACACCTTCAAGAACAGCAATAAGACCAGTTACAAAATAAAAGCCAGAAGACAAAGGAGAAATGCAGTTGTGTGGTCATCTGTGCTAGTATAAATCTTCAGAGAATGACTGTAGCTAAAAGGGCCAATTTTTTGTTTCTCTTTAATATAGAACCTTTCTATTTTAGTTTCTTGTCTTGGAAGCAAGAAAAGCTGAAATGATGTTTTTTGAAAAAGAAAAATAACTCAAAATCAAAAACTATACTATAGCAGTAGGTGGATGTCAGGATTCACCTTTGAATGAGTGAAAACCAATTATACAACTTTTTGAATGCAGTTAGATTCTTCCAGAGGTCAGATAATGGGGTGGGCTGTTTTGTGGTTTTGATTGTTGGGTTTTTTTCTCAAGTACTAGTAAGTACAATTTATTAAGATAGTTACAGGAATACATGCTCACAACTACATTGTTCCTTTGCTTCCCTGCCTCATTGGCCATAGTCCCTTTCTGTCTTGTTCATATTCAACTATGGCACTGAAAAGAAAGCACCGTTAATGTGTTATGAAGGTTGTCCTCATATTTCAGTTACTTTTAAAAATTCTTCATCTTTTATCTGAATGTGGACAAGTAGCTACCTCTGATGTAGATGGTTTTGTCAGTATGAATTTATAAAAAGATAGAAATGCCTAACAAAATCTTTCTCTCTTTAAACTCATCATATTATGAAAGCACTTGCAATGCATAGAAAGGGAATTTGAAAATACTCAGCCATACAACAAACAATTGCTATGGCAACTTCAGTTATTGTATAGTGAAATAGTGGTCTAACTGTTTTCCCCTAGTGTAGCAAATTTAAAAACATCATTGCTTTTCTGTTATTTGTTTTAAACTTGCTTTTCGGTATTACTAAGGGTATCCAATATAAAATAATGATCTTGTTGCAGTTCACAGTGTGTCCACTTGCGATGAAAAGAGTGTTCTCAGACTGCAGATTCTCCATGGATATATCAAACAGTTGCAGTGGAGGGAAGAACAATGTAACAGTGGAAAGATGAATAATTAATGTATTCGAGGGTGTTTCAGCAATTTTTGGCTTTTCTTATATATTGAGTTCTGCAAGTCAGCAAAAATATACTTCAGGTTTTCTGTGGATAAACTGTTGCTGTTTTGCAGTCCTCAGTCCAACCAAAAAAACAGATTCCAAAATGTTATCTTTATTTCTTAAGCCATATGGTTAGGAAATTCCCAGAGAGGTCTGATGTTACTGATTTTAATTGACAATGTTGCCTTAACCCAGGATAACCCCCATATGTAACACTGAGGTATTCTTGCTTTCCAGAGCATGAACGCTAAAAATAGTCAGTTGTGCTTCAGCTTGCAGTTGGATGTGCCTTTGTCATAGTGTCCCTGTGCTTGGTCTGTCAAGTTCATTTATGTTAGTAGACAGTGTTGCATTATATATATTTTTTCACTAAATCTGAGGTTTTAGAGGTTTTTTTTTAACATAAAAACTTTTTTTGAGTAATTAATTAAAAAACCCAACAATCTGAGCAAGACCACACAAACCTCTATTTCATTAAAATTTCAGCCTTTGCTTTTAGTAGATTATAATTTAAGAACTTTATGGCTGCAGGTTCTTACTGGAGTAGGTATAAGTCATGCTCCATGAGCTGCTGAAGTGTTTAGAGCAATAGAATTTGTAGGGCTTATGCTTGTTGACCACAAGATTGAGGAATTCTTCTGTTTATGAAGCAAATTACAGTAATACGACAGAAGAGTTTTAGAATAATTGATAGCAGTTTGTTTGTATTTTATTTCTGTAGTTTCTGTCTATGTTGACTGCTTTTGAAGACAATGTTAAAATGGTATCAGAGTAAAATCTGAAGGCTTGTTGACCAACCCTTACACTCATGTTGTTTCTCCAGTCTCTTTAAACATGTATGGTTAATTATTGGAAAGACTGTCTCTAATAAATTGCATTCAGTGTTGATTTTCAGTTTCATGACAATAAAGTTGCCTTTCAGTTATTCTGTCAGCAAAAGAGGGAATTTGAATAATAGTTGGTATGTTAAATATGCACACACAGCATGATTTTAAACTTCATACGTAACACGCAGGCACACACACTAGGTACCTCTTTATCCTGTAGGGTCACTCCCTTGAGAATGCAGCTGAAACGAAGTTTCTCTTGATGCTTAGATGCTTGATGCCATTTGTGCTTAGTCTAATTCTTGGATAGAGCTTCAATAGATACTCAGTTTGTAATTATGGGGGTTTTTTGGTTTCGGTTTTTGGGTTGTGGGGTTTTTTGTTGTCGTTGTTTTGGTTTGGTTTGTTGTTTTTCTTTGAGAGATATTTGAAGTAGGATTTTTGTGTTCTCAGAACAAGGCATTCCGATCAAGAGCTGCTAGCAAGGTCATTTTTGAAGGTGGAGTTTTAAATATTTTTTTTCACAGATAGCTCAGTTGCTCTTCATTGTAGAAGAGTAGAGTTGAGTAGCAGATATTTTGATTCCTCAGAGGTAGAAGATACTCCATATGCATTTTGTAGGTTTTTTTTCTTCTTCTTCTCCTTGGGTTCAAGTGTTACAACATATCATTGGACACAGCATAAATGATCCTCATCTTATGGTTCTTACAATTCATAGTACCTAATCCTGTTACTCATAATATGAGGACTCCTTTCACTGATTCTGAAATTTATTCCCTTGTAAGATGAGGCAGTACACCAGAATCTCTCATCTTTCCACATCAGGCAATATTCCAGAAGCTAAAGAAAATCCTTTCAATATACTGGGCAAAATAGAGGGAGAAAAAGAAGAAAGCCGTGATTTCAGAATCCAGTCAGCTAACTGTTGTTAAACTTCTGAAGGGAAATATTTTGTGGTTATTTCGTATTTCTCACTATCATTGAATCAGAGAATTGTAGGGGTTGGTAGGTACCTCTGGAGATCATCTAATCCAACCCTCTTACTAGAGCAGGATCCCATAGAGCACATTACACCGGAATAAGTCCAGGCAGGTTTTTAATGTCTCTTGTATAATTTAGGGACTGATGTCAACCTGATTTTATCTAACAAAGGTGGTTTTAGTCTTTGTGTATATATGGGGATTTATAGATAAATATTTAATCATATTTGTGCTGAGATATTTTTGTATTCTGAAAATCCTTTAGTCTTCTTTTAAAATAAATATATTAAAGTATCCTACATTTATCCTTAGGAGAAAACATTTGAAAATTGAAGCTCTATCATATTTTGTAGTTAATTTTGTACCATTTTGGACATAGCAATTTAGTTTCGTGGCAGCTCTTGAAGATCTACACAGCACCTTTGCACTGGGCTGTTCTGTCTTGGACAGAATTTATTTAGTAATATATTATGGATTTATTTTTTTTTTCTATGAGTGACATGAAAAGTACCTTACTAATACAGAATGCACATGCAAAATTAGCAAATTTTGAATGTGTACAGTGTTAAAATACAGTCAACCATTTTCTATAAAATAACATTATTGTATTTGTGTTAATTTCCACTAAGGGTTTTGTGACCGCAATTATTCGTTTACTTGAAAGTCCTTCGATTTTTATTCGAGCAAAAGCCTTTCTGGTCCTGCTGCAAGTTTTCATTAATAACAGGGAGATGTTGCTACTCAGTTGTCAAGCAAGGTAAGGTGATAATAGAAGACAGTTAGAGATTTAATGCTTATTTTCAAAGTACTACCTAAAATACTGAAAAATATATGGTATTTTTGACTCAGTGTCTTAGGAGTGAACTGTTTCATGTTTTATGAATCCTATTATTTGTGAGAATACAAAAAAAGAGAGCATCTTCTTTTGGCTGAGGTCATCAGGTGGTTACTCACAGGAGAGTTTGTCTTTCAGAGTAAGTTGTGGTCCCAATGACCATGAACAAGGAGCAAATTTTGCTTTGGGTAGGACAAAACAAATACCACAACAGTGAACTGGTGGTGGTGCTATGGTAGGAAAAGCAAAATAAAAAGGTCTGTCATGTACCTCCCTCGTCTTGGCGTGGGGTATAATCCATAGTCTTTTCAGTATAGACCCATTACATGTAAAATTATATTTCCTAGCTATATGGCTTGTTGAAAATATTTTATTTTTTTCTATGTTTTAAAATAATTTGCAATTATACTTGACTCACAGTGGAACAGTTATTTGGATTTTTGTGTCGTCTCATGGCACAAAAACATTCCCATATTAGACAAGAGGAAATTAGATTCTGTTAGAATGTAATTCATCACCATAACTACATTTATAGCAAATATAACTTTATATCTTATATGGATTTTAAGAAGAATTAAGATGTATGCAATGGAGCTAGAAGTCTGGATTGGAAGATGCAGGTGAATTTAACCTTGAAGGCATTGTGAGAGGACATCTTGTGAGATTCTAATATTATATACCCTTCCACTCACCTACAAATCTGTAGATACCCCAATTTTTGTAGGTCATAGAGAATAAGTACTGAATCCAAGTTTCCTTTTCATGTGTATCTTTTTATGCTTCCAGAAATGTTTTATTGGGTCATATGTTCTTGTTAGTGAAATGTCATGATTTGTAAGTCACTTTCTGAATGTATTTTGTTATTCAAATGGATTTTTTACTGACTGCTATTCACATAGTTGTTATAGAACATAGAACTGAGCTGTGTGTTTGGAGAAATGTCTGATGGAAGTCTTGTGGTGACAGTTACTATTTGTTTCTTTCTACCTAAGGTATTATGTTAAGAAGATATTTAATATTTTTTATCAACAATTTGATCTCTTTATTAAGAATGCTTTTCAATAATGAGCCTATCTGAAGAGAATATATTGTGAATTTGGGATGTTATTTTGTATTGTGAATTTTGGCTTTATCTTGCCATTGTACTGTGATGCTCCAGAGCTGATTAAGGACTAACACATGACATAACACATTAGGTAAAACAGTAGGAAGCCTTATAGCAACTTCATTGAATTCATAAACTGTTTTTCTTAATTTTTTATGTTTTCTTCTTAATTGTTCTTCAGGGAACAGTATATCCCTTGACAGGATAGGTACTCGAGACTAAAATCTTTCTCTTATATCCAGAAAATGAGGCGGCTGCAGTAGGATGAGAGAGGAAAAATGGCCATTATATGTGGAGATGGCTACTTTCATAATACCCTGAACTATGGGAGAATTGTATAAAACCCAGTAGAGATAAAGGGTATATTTTGACTTATACTGTTGAATTCCTATAGATGTATTTTAGTTAAATGTTTCCAGTTCTGCAACCAAAAAGTTACTTCAAAATTAAGACTAATACATTCAAAGTTGCTAGTACAGTGAAAGGATATGATGCATATGATAAATCAGTCAGCAAAAATGCTTTCATTACAACACTGCATATATCCCTACAGCTTCCAAGTTAAATGTTGTTCAGTTTGACATTGAAAAGAGCTATTTTTTTTAGTTTATTAATGAAAGTAAAACATACCTTTGCAGAGATTTTTGTGATTTTGTTTTTTAACAAATTCTTTGAATCTGTTATAGCATATTTTTAAATTATGAAATTCATTGTGGTGGGGATGTGTAATTCAAGAACTTGGATGTCACCTACAAAATTCCACTAGGAATTTCCACTAGTACTTTCCAAAGTTCTTTCCAAAGTACTTCAAGATTTTGAGAGCTGTGGATGAAAAACATTTATGTTTTTATCAAATGTAATTTTGCCACTATTTTTTTCTCACACATTGGTACAATTTGCCTGTTTCTTTTTTTTTCTATCTGTTTATGATAGTCCATTACAGACATACCTTTCATTGTTCCACATGTGATAGAGCTGGAGAAGATGAGACCTTTTTAGGCTGATATAGCACTTGTTTGCTTATAATATACAAATTCATTTCTTTCTCTAATCGCCCAAGTTTTCACATCTCTTTGTTTTCTCTGTTTTTCTCTTTGCAAAAGCAAGCTACCTATTAATAAGGGGTGGAATACAACTTGAGATTTTGTTGAGACTTACAGTTTCACCCTTTTCTGAACTAGTAGTAATTTCCAATTAGTTTCATTGAAATTTTCTTTCTGCATCTAACTGGTTTCAAAGAATTTCTTAGGTGAACAGAGACTGCCATGGAGACTGAATTTTCTCCCTCAAAAATTTATTTAAACCTCTTTTTCTATTGTCTGCAGAGGCGGTCACTTGTGGAAAGATAGTGTAGTATTCCTGACAGACTTTCACAGTCTGCAAAAGCCTAACTACACACAAAAGCATAACTTTTGAGCAAAATCTTTCTCTGTCATCTGCCCCCAGTGCCATATTTTTTACATTTTAAGATCTTGGAAATTTCCTCAAATGAAAAGCTTTACATGGAGAATTGAATTTATAAGTGAACAGTTCTTAAACTTCTTAAGTAGTAGACCCCATTCCCCTTCCTGTTTCTCAGGGCTGTTAACTCTGCAGTTCTCCTTTTTGCTCAACTCTTCACACTTCTCAGAAAACTTGGGTTTATTTGCTTTTGGTGTAAAAGCTCACTGTTTATCATATTATGCAATAAAGATATTGCAGAAAAATTTTTAAAATCAAATCTGGCTTCACAGAGAGTGGTTTGTTCCTCATCATATTTAACTTATTTATAGTAACACCTACAAGTTTTTTCATGTATTGTTGGGTGTAAGACAAATACGTGCATTATATGAATTGAAAAAATGTCTTTCCATAGGCCTAGTTTTACCTGTTGGATAGAACACTTGAGATTCTTTAAGGAATAAAACCAAATTCTTCAATGTATGACTGAGGAATTTGTCAAAGGAAAACAGAGATACTGATGCTTTCCTGCTTTTAGAGATCTGTACCATTTTCTTGAGACAATGTATAGATCAATGGTACTATTGGGGAAAAAACAGTTGTGCATATTTTTAGAAATTCTTTTTGTGAAAGACAATTTTGTGGTGAGAAGAACAACACAAAAAAAACAAACTCATGAGTTTATGTGAAGTTTGTATCTTTCTTCTCTCTGAATAAATGGACATATTTTACATGATTCTTAAATGTGATTATCTAATTGAATGTGCTTTTAAAAGTGAACCTCCTCCATCATTTCCCCCTTGCAATAAAACTACTCATGTTGAAGTCTGTTCAGCTGGTTTTAAGTAAAACTTAAGCAGAATTAAACATATTTCCATATATAATCGGGTGAATGTTAAATCATTGATGTTTTCTTAAAGAAAAAATCCCAACATGTGAACTCTGGTCTTTTGTAATGGTTTTCTTAAAAATTAAGCAGCTTTTGGGTAAAAATTACTTTTTTGTCTGGAAAGGCTAAAGGTCTTTATACTATTTTTATTTAAAATATACAAATTTTTATATTAAAAAAATAAAGGTTTTTAAAGGGAAATTAAAATTGAAGCATAATGTCAAATTTTTCAGTAGTTATTTTACCCCAGACAAATCAAAATTCCTTGTAATTCAATCTGATTTCTAGAGACTGCAAGGAAAATAAAAGATGTTCCCCTAGTCTCTGAGAAGTGAAGACAAATGTGTTGTATCTGGGCTATTGAAGAGATGAAAGGTAGTTAATGAACAGGTCTTTTGATTTATCTCTATCTTTGTGTCTGTAGCACAGTTCAGGAAGGATAAGGTAAGTTGTAGTATTCCATGAAGATTGTATGTTATTAAGTGGCTTAATCCTTCAAAAGATTGCAAGAAGGGTATTAAAAAAACCCAGCAAAACAAAACAAAAAATACTGAAGTAATCCACAATCCAGATTGTGAATTTCACTCACCAGTGATTGATGGTTTTGTTGTTTGTTGGTTGTTTTTTTTTCAAAGAACCCCGGGGAGCTAAAATGTGAAATAAAGATGTCAGTATTATGCACCTAAAGAGAAATCTGGCCCTTCTGTCTATTCAAATGAACATTTTAAAATATTGCCTGAAGCATTCTGTTACAGGTGTATTATTAAAGCAATCTCTTGTAAGTTAGCCAATGGCTAATAAATCAGTTACCATAGAGTACTATGAAAAATGTCATTCAGTGGAACGGCTTAGCTACATGGGACTTAATGGTTAGAATGTAAGCATTGAGTTTGTCTTTAGAAATCTTAAAAAGATGTAAGGCTAGTTTGGAGTTTCATCTCTTTCAATATGGCCATTCTGACTAATGCTAACATTTTTATAGGCTGTAGTATGATTTATGTAGTATGATTTTTCTTGACTGAAACATTGATCTCTTGTTACATTAAATTAAATTATTCTTTCTTTAGGAACTCTTACATGTTGAAAATGAATGTCTTTATTCTTTTGCTCATATTGTGCTCATTGGTTTTACATTTAAAAATGAAGTGGATTTTAGAATTAGTCCCTCTCTAAGTCTGCAGAGGGATTCACTCCTTTTGTTAGCATTGCATGTCCACTTAAACTAGTAGAGTTGCACTTATAGTAGCTTAAGGGTTTCTTTCCTCTTGTTCCTTGACACAGTTATTTGTGTTTTTTAAAAAATGGTTTATTTGAAAACAAAAGTCTAAAATTTTAACAAAATTACAGAGCCAGAACTAATGTCTCATCTTGTTTGCAAACACAGATACTAGAAATGTCTGCTTCAGTAGTAGTATTGACATACTGTGTCATTTTTTTTTGTTCTGAGATGTTAAGATTTGCACTTGCTTAAATGTAGACTCGTGATGTATATTGAAAGAGACAGGAGAAAGACCACACCAGGAAAGGAGCAGCAAGATGGCAGTGAATACCTGTCAAAATGCCTTCATCTTCTCATCTATCACATTGTGCGGGAGCTGCCAGGAATTCTAGGTAAATTCAGTTGCTTAACTGAACAAATCTTTTGTTTACTAACCATATACAAGTGGAAAGACTGTCATGCCAGATTACATAAAGTTTGAATGGTATGAGCTTCACAAAAATTTTAGGTGTGTTATGATCAGATATTTTGTGTTGCAATGCATAGTTTCCTATGTTCATGTTTTGGATTTATTGAATGGTAAGCCACATGAACTTAATCAGGAATGAGGCCCAATTGTATGAGAAGTTTTATCAATGTTCTAAAGATATTCCAACCACTGAAAAACCCAAGAGCCCATTTGCTTTGTAAAAGCGATGCAACAGGACATAGTTGTGAGTACATGCTAATCATATACACTTAAACTTACATGTTGAGTATTTGCTTCAGACAATATATCTGGAAAACTTCAGCCTGGATACTTCAGTTGTTCTAGATGTCTGATTTGCGTTTTCTGTGAGAAGACATCAGTTCTACCTCAGACCATCCCTTATACTTAGAAATGAAGACTTGAAGTTTCAGAAAATAAGTTTTTGTGTCAAGGGTATGCATTTGGACAATTTTGTTAATATCTGCTCAAATTTCACTAGTATTTGAGCCTTTGGAATGATAAAAAGCTACTTTGAACTTTGTGCTGTTCATATATTTGCAAACAGAAATTTGCTTGGGGATAGCACTTAAAGTCCTGTGATCATTAAATATACTCAAACATGTCATTGTGTGATGAGTTACTAGGGAAGACTGGACTTGCAGAGGGAACAGTGACAGGCATGTCTGCAAATAGACAGAATTTGGACTCACTGGGCAAACAGAGAAGAGACTGGAGTAGAAAGAAATAAGTTTGAGAGTCTGGGAAGGCAGTCAAGAGAAGGTGATGAAGCAGGATGAGAATTTTGGCCATTTGTACAAAAGTAAGGAAAGTTCCTCTTTTTGCACAAAAGAGGAACATAGGGTTGATATTGAATAAAAGAATTGTTGCAGTAATTACCATAGATGAGTAAAAACAATGAGATTGTATTGGGAAAAAAAAAACTATGCTGTACATTGTATGAGGGAAGATGAGTTTATTTGAAAGTTAATTAGGAGTGAGTGAAAGAAGAATGGAGAGAAGGAAAAGAGGGAGAAAAGGGCAGTGGGAGGAAGGGTGAGAGAGGCAGCAAAGAGAGGAGGGCAGGAAGAAACGGGGAAGAGGAAGAAGGGAGAGGAAAGGAGAGAAGGGATGGAGAAAGAGAGGGAGAGGGAAGGATGGATGGGAAGGAAAGAGGAAGAAGCAGACGAGAAGGAAGGAGAAAGTGAGAGATGGGTGTGGCCAGTCTGAGTCATAGTTAAACTTTTTATTAAAACTTCTGGTGTGTGAGATCTCCCACAAAATAGAGTAAGAAAGCTAAATAGGAGGACAGGGAAGGACATGCTGGGAGCGTTCAAAAAAAGAAAGGAAGTAGAGCCTATCTTGATTGTGCATGCTTTGTCATATGATAAAACATTAGTTTCATGAAAATATTTTCTGATAAGATACACCCGATTTATTTTCCGTCTTCTGCATTATGTCTAGAATATTGAAAATGAAATGCTAGCACTGCAAAGGTCAGTAGACCTAAATGTCACACTGCTATTTTAAAAGAAACTTCGCTTCCTATAACTGCCAATTTTTGCCCTGCTGCAAAGACCTGATCCCTTTTTTCTAAATAAATACCAGGAATACATATTGGCTATATTTCAAAAGTTGGAAGTCTCAGACTATAAAAGTTTGAGGCAGAAATTCACCTCCTACTGTCTGTATATACTATATGCAACTAATATAATAGGCCCTGATATTTCCTAAGAATCTGAAGATGGAATCATAGAATTGTTAAGGTTGGAAGGGACCTTAAAGATCATCAAATTCCAACCGCCTGCCATAAGCAGGGAGCCCAACCACTAGACCAGGTTGCACAAAACCTCATCCAAGCTGGCCTTAAAAACCTCCAGGGATGGGGCATCAACAACCTCCCTGGGCAGCCCATTCAAGTTCCCCACCACCCTTATAGTGAAGAATTTCTTCCTAATAGCTAACCTAAATCTCCCCTCTCTCAGTTTAAAACCATTACCCCTTATTCTATCACTATCTTCTGTGATGAAAAGCCTCTACCCAGCTTTCCTGTCGGCCCTCTTCAAGTACTGGAAGACCATTATAAGGTCTCCTCAGAGCCTTCTCTTCTCCACGCTAAACAGCCCCAGCTCTCTCAGCCTGTCTTCATAGCAGAGGTGCTCCAGGCCTTTGACCATCTTGATGGCCCTTCTCTGGACCCTTTCCAAGAAGTCTGTATCATTCTTGTGCTGGAGGCACCAGAACTGTACACAGTGCTACAAGAAGGGTCTGACCAGAGCAGTGCAGAGGGGCAGAATCACCTCCCTGCCCCTGCTGGCCACACTTCTTTTGATGCAGCCCAGGATGTGTTTGGCTCTCTGGGCTCCAGAACACACTGGTTGCTCATGTCGAGCTTCTCATCTACTTCCACCTCAAGTCCTTCTCCTCAGTACTGCTCTCCAGCCATTCTCCCCCCACCCTGTATTTGAGCCTAGGGTTGTGCAGACCCAGGTGCAGAACCTTGCACTTAGCCTTGTTGAACTTCATGAGGTTGGAATTGGCCCACCTCTCCAGCCTGTCAAGGTCCCTCTGGATGGCAGCCCTTCCCTCTAGGGTGTCAACCCCACCACACAGGTTGGTATTGTCAGCAAACATGCTGAGGATACACTCAATCCCACTGTTCATGTCTCCAACAAAGATGTTAAACAGCACTGGTCCCAGTACTGACTCCTGAGGGACACCACTCATCACTTGCCTCCGTTTGGACATTGAGCCATTGACCACAACTCTCTGAGTGTGGCCATCCAGCCAATTTCTTATCTACCGAGTGGTCCATCTGTCAAATCCATGTCTTGTCAGTTTGGAGAAAACATATATATATATCTATATGATATTATATATCAAATATATAGGTACAATGGATAGTTCATGATTTGCTTTAACATTCTCCTGGGTTTTTTTAATACTGATGTACAATTTCAGTGCATTATTGACAGCTAATTTATCAAACATGTTTTTTTTCACTTTGTTTTCCTTTCCAAGCTAGATTTATGTGTTGATTGCTTTATTAAGATAAAGCTATCTCTCTGTATTTGCCCACATTTGTCAGAAGGTGTTTTTCTTTTCCTTGCTGTGAGTATGAAAAAGGAACATGTTCTGCCTGAGCAGGTGAAAGCAGCAGGCTACTAAGAAAAATAACCAGATTTGCAAAGTAATATGCATTTGTGTAAGCTCCTTACTGATCCCATCTTCTTCCACCAGATGTAGCTATAAACCAAACAGATTAAGGAGTTGTAGAAATCAACCTTAAAGATATATTTAAACTGAAATAAATTGTTAATCTGGTGGATAATTACAAAAAATAAATTACAGGTAAAAAAACCCCTAATTTTATTTCTGCATTTATAATATTTCACCTGTTTTTAGGAAGAAAACATAAATTGCTTAGATCGTGCTAAAAATTAAAATAACCATATCTATCTGTTTATCCACTGCAAAATCAGCACATGTGAGGATTAGATAGGCCTTAAAACCCAGAAAGACAGTAGATTGTTTCATAAATTGTTCCAAACCACAAAGACTTTTGGTTGAATTACAGTATTGTGAGTAATTAAAAACAAAAAATGTACTGATGAAAAAACAATGTTTTGGTTTATGTATTTGGAGACTTTTAGGCAATGCATTATTTTGCTTGGGCATATGATAGAATTAGTAAAATCTTTGAGGCTAGGTATTTTTACAACATACTTTAGTGCCAGTCATTTCTGCTTATGTTGAAAATTGAATTCCAGAGGGAAGCATTGTTATTATTCAACATGAATAAATCTGTGACTTACTCTGACAAAAAAAAGGGCCTTTTCTGGCATACAAATTGTATGAAGTCTTGAATCCTGTCCTTTATTTGTTTAATGTCTATGTGATTTCCCTTTTACAGTTTGTGCAGCTCTCTTGTTAGGAAAAATATATAGTAAGTGTTCTTTCAAGGCAGGATTTGCTTTTTAATATTTTTAAGCTACAGGGACAGTTTTCATTCTGTGCACATGGACCGTGACTTTTCTCCCAAGGCTTCAGTTCTTTACTCCATGCAGAAGAGGTCTTGCTTTTCTGAGACAATTGTTAATGTAACACAAATTTAGCAAAATGCTCTTTGATTTTCATGTGTCTCTTCTGAAGTCTGAAGTATAATTTGCACTATTGCAGTTAAAATTTTCTTCCTTCATTATTGGATCTGAAGTTTGTTATGGAGGCAACTAAGTTCTCTCATTGACCTGCTGCTACCACATCTATAAGAATGTGAGAGTTACCGTTGCTTTAGGTCACTTGTGTCATTATTAAGCTTGTGTATGAGAATGTGTGTGTGCATGGCTGGTGGAGGGATCTTTTAGAAGAAGGGGAGAGGTTTGTTTCTTTCTTCTAGGGATACTATGCTGCAGGAACAAACATACTGCTTGAGCATTATGTCATCTACTAATCATCATTCATTCAGATCTTGGTCAGCTGGAAGTAATGATAATTTTCTTTTTATTTCACTGGAAATAGAATTGCATTCACAGGATTTCAAGTGTACAGTTCCACACATATGGAGCCATCTAAACCCAGTATAAGTCCACCCTGCCAAGAGGGGCAATTTAATCTTTGCTTCTACACTTGCATTATATTTCTATCCTCACTGTTTTGCCAGAAGTTATATTTGTGTGCCTGCCCCTGTAACCAGAGCCTGGCTGAACACTGAGGTAGGAAAGAAAAGTGCTGGATCAGCCTAATATTTCATGCAGTCAAGTGAATGCTACTTTC